CGTTCGAGAGATTAACTTATAAAAAAAGTAAATTATGAGGATTTCAGTTGCGTTTCCTTGATAATTTCTTAGCATATTTTTTGCCATACTCATTCAGGAAAAAGAAGTTCTTATTTTTAAACAAATACGACGCCGATTTGCAGAATTAATATAATCCAATGGACTTACTGTCAAGTCTTTCGTTTAATGTTTTTTTTTAAATTCCACAGACATTTTAGTTTTTGTTTCTGGACAACGCATTTCTTTAAATCGATTGTGAAACTCCCGAGCCACATATCTCGGTTGCGACGTTGCAGACTTCCTGTTGTACTTTACCTTTTAAATGGAGAAATACTTCACGCGAATTCTTAGAAACCTCTGTGATTTTTCTACTCTGTGCGAGGCAAATTCTGACAAAACTTCAAAGAATGACGTTGAACGGTCCTCCCTTAAAATAATTAAACAGGAGCGGATATTTTCAAACACCGCTAACGAGATATTTGTATTGGAAGTTTCACCGTCTATACCTTCCCGACGATGAGATGCCGTTTCACAGCACGAATCACCCAACCCTCCCAATGTAGGCTCATTGTTTCATTTTTTCAAAATTTAAATTTTAAGAAATTTCGGTTTTGTTCTAAAATCAAATGCTCTTACTTTCACGAGGAAAAGATGGCATTTTGCAAAAGTAATCCCTGAGCTGCAGATTCGCGTCGTCCAACTCATTAACGCGTTTTCAAGAAAGACAATGTCGCGTTCGGTGCCACTTCCTTTTTTTGGGCAGCGTGAAAGCTCCAACTCGCTTTTGATGAACGCTGTGACGGGTGAGTGACCGTTTGCATAATAATAAAGTTATGCTAATCGTCGCATTCTGTCTCCACTATTCAGGTTAGTTGGTATGCCTGTCAGAGCTGCGTTCCATCTTGTCACTTTTTCACTTTCGGTTTTCTTTTAGTTTTCACTTCCTTTTCATGGTTGCCACATCTGATTCAATTCATTTAAGATCCACGGAAGCCGGTCAGGTTGGCCTAGTGGTCAGCGCATCTGACACCAGGTAAATAGATCCCGGTTTCAAATACTTGTTGTGGTGTCGAAAATTTACGAAATTGACGAGTGGTTCTGAAGGAATAGATTCTACTCGGCCTTCCCTGAAAATTTGAAAAGTCTGGAGCATAGATGAGGATGTGCCAACCGCTCGATGTATGTGGGCGATAAATAGTCTTTTGATGGCTGCAGGTTCCTAACGGAACAAAGGCCAATAAACAGCAGAAGAATGAAATCCACGGAGGATTATACTAGCGAAAAAGGGTCCTATCAAATGGATGTTCTTTCCCCTTTTCGCGCTTGAATAAAAGAAAGCATTAATTCAAAAATTTGGAAAAATATACCTCGAAATAAACATTTACTTTTAAACTCGGAAAACTGCAGATTCTAATTTATAAATTTCGAAACCACAGAACCGTTATATGAAGGGTCGATTCCGATTCGAAAAAGGCACTTGTCCGTTGGATCATTTTTTACAGGAGTGACAAGAATCTGTTAAGTTTTGACCCACTGCACAAAGATGAAGCAAAAACAATTTTGATTAAATCGTTGCAAGAATTGTTGAAATAAATCAATCTGTATATGATTGATGTAGACTAAATTTAAAAAAAATAAAAAATAAAAAATAAAAAAAAAATAATAATAATAATGAAGATGTATCCTTTTTCAAATCGGTCACTTTTTGTATTTTTTAGGTAACTTTTTTAGTTTCAATTTCTGGTGATGATAATTGTCTTATTCCATCATTAAATTGAATTTGTGATTGCATTTGAAACGTCAATTAGACCTCTTCAAATTCATGAGGTTTGAGTTTGATGGTTACTTTCTACAAAACAACACAAAGGGGCAAGTGCGAGCGAACCGCGCAAGATATTTTTGGCGTGCTCTCGATGGAATAAATGAAAGAAACGAAATCACTACGTGTGACTTCCCGTGTACTCAAGCCCCTCATATTGCCATCGAGGTAATGGGCCTGTTGCATGCAAGAGATACAGCCGTGCGAATAGACTTTTCAGAGGTTAAATGACACGAAAATTACGATTGTCACATTAAAAAAGTCTGAAATACACTCCTTACTGCGCAATTTGCGTTGTTAGGAACGCGCTTTTTCAAATTTCCCGCGTCTAGGGGCAGTTTTCTAACGGAAACAATTAGCGGCAACTCGCGGCTATTTCCGGTCAACTAAAACTGACAACATAACCTAAAAATCGGAGCTCGTGATATCGTGAAATGAAATGTAGGAGGATTGCGTTGGATATTTAAAAGTTGATCTATTTGGTTAGCGCACAAAGCGTATATGGACCACTATAAGAGATCACGTTGGGTTTGTAAACAAACTGAAGGAAAAAATAACAACAACAACAACGACTCGGCATCTTCCGGAAATCACCGAGCCCGCCGTTTGCTAGTTTCCGGTGATTAGAAAACTGCCCCCAGACGCGGGAAATTTGAAAAAGCGCGTTCCTAACAACGCATATTGCGCAGTAAGGAGTGTATTTCAGACTTTTTTAATGTGACCATCGTAATTTTCGTGGCATTTAACCTTTAAAAGGTCTATTCGCACGGCTGTATCTCTTGCATGCAACAGGCCCATTGAAGGCGAACTTGCCGTCGCGAGTGACAACCAGTATCAGTGCGCACTGTGATACATATTAAAAATAATAGCGCAACAAAAAAGTGACGACGATAGTGTGGATAGAGGAATTAATGTATCTACAAGAGGATGCCGGAAAGAGGTGAAATGTATAAGAATGATGCACAGTAAGCGAGCTCCCTTGAATATATTCATTCATCGAGGTTTACTTAGGGAAAAATGAATAATTTTATTCCATATACTGCCGTGCAACGCAAAAACGCCGTATACGCCATTTTACATTCTTTGGAAAGAATGTATCATCGCAGAAAAACTTGTGTACCTTGGGACAATGTTTTTACAGGATTCTCTCGCAAATACTATCAAGAACTTGACCTGAAAATTTGAGGTGCATGGGTAAAAAAGTTTTTTTTAAAGAAAGTGTTAATGTCCAAAAAAACGAGGGAAAATTTTGATGGATTTACGGCGTTTTTGCGTAGCATGGCAGTATAGGGCTCTTTCATAATATCTGGAGAGACTCCCAAAATGGTTTTAGTTTTCCATAATATTTTTGAGACAGGCAATTAGCAATATTACAAATTGTGTGCACGTGCATTCGCGATTGACTTTCAGCATCTGCAACAGAGCCGGATTAAGAGGGTGGCCACATGGGCCGCGGCCCATGGCGGCAAAAACATAGGGGGCGGCAAATTTTGCAATTTTTTTAAATGTAGGTATAAAAAAAAAATCGGATTTAGAATTAAAAAAAAAAATACAAACGAGAAAAGGTGACAAAATCTCTAATTTTCTGAGAGTGTAGTAATTTCTACTTTTGTCGTCTTTCAGTGACACAAGAGACAGCACCTTTAATTAGTCGAGTTAAGAGAGAAACCAAACACGCAATTTGGCCTGGAACGGCGTGACTTACTTAGAGAGAAATGATGACGAGGACTTGAGATGAAAAGGAGAAGCCCTCGGCGCGGCGATCGGCATGTAACACATATTAGCGCCTGCAAGACTGCACGAATACTTCACGCATTGCATCAAACACAGTGCGGTCATTGCGGACAGCGTGAAACGAATAGCGCCTACAAGAATGCATGAATACCTCACGCATTGCGGCAAACACAGTGCGATCAGCGTGAGACGCATAGCGCCTACAAGACTGCGTGAATACTTCACGCATTGCGTCAAACACAGTGCGGTCTGCGAGGCGCGGCGGCGGAGGTTAAAATCATTAATCCACATTTGTGTTTGTTCTTTCATAATTTTTTCGTTCATTTCTTATGAATGGAAGGCCTTGTCCACACAGAGATAGGTTTACGAAACTTAACTTTCGCGCAAAGTTCCGTGAACTTTTGCTAGGAGTGTTGACAGGGCTTTCCCAAAAAATGTGTTCAACACCAGTAGACGCGTCTTATGCGCCCCTCCCCTGCTGGCACGTTCATTTGATGAGTTTCATTGATGTTTCAAAACGAATGAGAAGGGGGCGGCAAAATAATAGCGGCCCATGGGCGGCAAGTAGGTAAATCCGGCCATGATCTCCAAGAATTTATTTGAAGTTGTTGACAATGAAATCATTTGTACCTAACGCATTTGTTGTGCCGCAAATAGCGGCCACTCTTTCTAGATTGCAATTTTTGATCCAACAATCAGTAGTGTTGTATTCAAATGGTCAATATCCTGGGTATAATTTGAAGTGATTTAATTACATCGAGGTTACATCGGGTATTTTTGTGGTTCACTTCGATCAAATAAATCCGTACCAATCATAATGACGCTTATGCGAGAAATCGCTGGGAGATTCATTTGAATCGCTTCTTTTTGGGATTCTTAATGTACATTTGATCGTAAATACCAAGTTCAAACTTCAAATCGTCGACTAAATGCATCTCTCAATGTGAAATTATTGTCAAGCAACAGTACCATCAAGTAGCCAATAGGCCGAGGCGAATTAATTCGTGGTTGAGTCAAGTGCAAATAACATGTTTTGGGTGAGAAGAGGCTGCTTTTTGTAAGCAGCTGTCAATTTTTGCGTGACGTTATTATTTTACCAAATTCATCCTTAAACCATTGTGCTAGTCTGTCTTTCCATTTTTGACCGTTCACAACTGAATATACCAAACGATCATCAGTGGTATCCAGACATTTTCTTTTCTACCGCAAAAATAACTGAGCCAAATCAGCGAGTGAAACCATTTTCGCGAAAAGATTTCTCTTCAGATTTCTTCGTGGTGAAATTAACCTCCAGAAAGGAACTAAGCCCACATTGATTTACATCGACTCTCATTCATTACCATGCATCAACTCGATTTTAATCGCCCATTGTTCTGCGGCTCTGACCGGTCAAGCCTTTTTGTTTACGACCGACGAGGAACTGAAACTTTATTCTTTTTCATTTCAGGATACTCTCCGAGGGACAACAAGGAGGATCGCGGAATAATGGCACCTCGCATGGACTACGAAGAATGGACCCCGATCGGCCGCGGCGACCCCTTGAAAAACGACCCCACCTACGATTACGTGCCCCCCGTCTTGGACAAAGTCCACTACTGGATCAATCCAGCTTCGCGCACCTCTGAATCCCCCCTCGCCTCGGAGTCGCAAATCGTGGCCTTGGGCGCCCCCGCAACTAAGAAACCCACCCCCACGATGAAACCCCTTAAACCGTCCGAAATCAAACGCTACCACACGGAGAGCAAACCCCACTACCAAGGTTACGGACCTTACATCTCCGGCTCGAAACATCCGAACAGGGGCCGTCCCCAGTACATTCCTTTGGCCACTTACTCCACCTACAAGTACCCCCGTCCACCTCTAACTATGCTCGTCCCGCCCCCGCCCTCCCAACCAGTCACCTACCCGCCCACTACCGAAGAGGAGCTCAATCAGATAACAACGGATTTCCAAGACAAAAGCACCGATAAACCGCAACAGTCCACCACTATCAACGGGCCGACATCGTGGAAGACATCGTATTCGCCGGAATCAACGCAAGCGCACACAATCGCGTTCCTCGACACCAGCACGATTATCAACGACCCAACGAAGAACAAGCCAGTTTCCACTTCGATTGATGTGGACACAACGCTGGGTCAAACCACATCCTCCTTCAGCCCAGCGGCAACCCAAACCTGGTCCTCGACGAGGCAAACGACAGTCGAACAGACGTTCGTCACGAACCCGCTGACGACCGAGGAACAAACCTCTAGACAACCCTCCTCCGTGTCCACAACCGAACTGTCCTCGAGTCAAACTACGAGTAGACAACCTTCATCTCCGTCTTCGGGACACACCACAGTATACAGACAACCGTCCTCGGTGTCTACCAACGTTTTTACCACCGGGCAGACAACCCTTAAGCAACCTCTGACGATGTCCACTATGGGATACTCCACCGGTCAGACATCCTCGATGCCTGGTCCACAAACGACGAAGCTGTCTTCGTCGTCTTTGTTCGACCTCTTGCTCAAGCGAGACTCGCCCCCGCCAACTACGTCCCCCGCGACATTCCCCCTGCCCCAGACGCAGGCCGTTTCCATGCCGTTCCTACCCCCCTTCAGAACGCAAGAAGCGCCGAAAGCACCCGCTTACCTCATCATCCAGGGCCACTCCAAGGTGAAGAAATACGGTGCGACTAAGCTGGACAAGATATCCGGGATCCCGCTCCAAGATAGCAATGAAATCACGAGCCAGCAGGATAGTGACGCGAACGACATACTCAGGAGAAAGACGAGAGACGTGAGTTTAGAGGATTATTTGCCGATAGATGGGAGTTACTTCAAGTCGACTTTTGAGGACTATTACAGTGATCTGGGAGAAGAAGCCTCAGGTCTAAATGCCATTCCAACTCGGTGACTCGAGTAGAGTTGAAAATGTGTTGAATGCTCGAAGATACCTTACATTAAAATGCATCTAAAAGAAGGAAACAAAACCTAAAACATACTTTCTGCCTACCATCTTCGTTTCATTTGCTTAAAATTTACGATTTTTATTTTTAATGTTTTTTTTTTCTCAAACTCGAAAGTCTATTGCTCCCAGAGAACTTAATACTTAGGTTCCATCGACATTTTGAATGTGTTTTCCTGCAGAACGGGAGGAGCATCTAAGATCCGCGAGTGGACAGCAAAGTATCACCACTACATTTTACTATCTTTAATTTTTGCAAATAAATAAAACGGAAAAGAATATTAGGGAGCGTATTGAAAAAAATAATGTTGTATTTTCTGACAGCGATTAAATTTAATTGAAAAGAAAAACTTGAATCTCCCGGACACCTTGTTTCAGTAGTTGTACGTGAAAACAAGTTGATAAAGAGCAACGCTGAAGTATTGCAGTAGCGCGTCTGCGGAAAGAGAAACCAAATCTACATCGAATTTCAAGAACGCACTAAGTAGATTATTCAATGAAGGCACGTTAATATGAGTGCTGGTTGAAGGACCCTCTTTATTTTAGCATTGCTCAAGCAGCCAGCAGTTGCATATTTATAAACTTTGAAATAGATTCTATGCACTTATTAGAAATGCCATTTAGTAAATTATTAGAAGTGTCATTCGGTAGAATTTCAAATGAATTGATATTTAGAGTCCATCCGGTGCTTAACCAAATTTAAGGAAGAGTAGTGACATTCAAATTTAATCGCGTTGAGAAGCTTACACATTTTTTGGTAGCTTTGCTGTCTAGACTCAAATGCAAGAGTAGGTCACTGGCCTCAAAGCAACATACGTATACATTCGGAAACTTGCATTCAAAATTAGGTACGCCAGATATGGTTGGCACAGTTGTTTCTATTTTTAAAAAAATAATCCATAGTTCTAACGCTTTAAAATTAAAAGCACAATTTTCCCTGCGAATTTACCACTTAAATTCTTTTAGAGAGATGTAGGTATCGAATATTAAAGCTACTGCTCATAAGACTCATTACTCTGACTCTGCCATAGACTGATTTTATCAGAATTGCTCAACGATGAAGTGCTCTTACAAAATAATCTTTCGTGTAGTAATGTAAATATTGTAAAGTTACCAAAAATTAGATAGTTCTGTATTGTAAAGTGAGAATTGAAATCTTTAGCTGTAAGAGGCGCCTCTTTTCATTTGATTTGTAATCAACTTTAATTGGAGAGATCGGGCGAAAAGTTATCACTTTCGGGAATAAATCCTACCAATTACTTTCAGAAATAACTAGTCTCTGCTATGCATCGTTTATTGTGCTAGTGCACTAAATGTGCTTCTCAAAATAGTGCTCTTCAGTTTTAAAAATCCATCCTCACAAGCTCTTTACAAGCGTGGCTTCTATTAGAATTCAATCAATATCCAAAGATTTTTTGATATTTGTTTTTTCATGTTTATCAAAATGACTGTATATAGTTTTTATATTTTGTATTGTTTTTACACATTATTGATTAAATCACATGTAAAAAACTAAGATAGATCTTTTTAGCATTCATTATTCTCAGTATCTTCGTGAATGGTTTAATGGTTCATAATGGGATAAACACGTTTAAATAATTTCAAAGTTGGAAATATTCTCTTCTAATATGGTGCGTCAATACAGAAGAATCAAGCAGGACGTTTTATCAGAATATATTTTTTAATATTTGAAGAAAAATAAGCACATTTTGTAAAAATCTATCAATTGCAGCTCGTGCGATCGAGCAATAGCGACAGCCAGTCCATAAGTTTTAGCTCTTAGAATACAAAAAGAACGTAAAATTGACGACTTCAATCTCTGAGGAAGTGCATGTGCATGACTACATTGAAGCTTTAATTCCGTTTTAGGGAATGCCACCACTAAGTTGCCAAAGAAAGGGAAAAAAGAAGAATTAATTGGACTTCAATTACTGCAGAACTCTGCGTGTTGAATGCTTGGGAAGTGAAAAGCTTTTCAAATATATTTTCAATGATTCTGCATGGAGCGTATTAAATGTGCATTATTTGACAAGATAACTATTCGAGCTCTCCAGTATGCTTATTGTCTATGCGCCATGATTGAAGGCGAATCTCAAGTGGGCAATGTCTGCCAATAGGTTTACTCATTGTCTATTATCCCTATCAAATTTTATGAAGCGGAGTAAACATGTATTTGATTGATGACTATTAGTGCTTCCTAGTGGGTTAATTGCCTATGGCGGAAAAATAAATGCGGATCTCAATCGGATGATATCTATCGATAGGTTTGCGCAATGTCTATTGCTTTTACCTAAGTTCATGGGAGCGAGCAAGAATGCGTTTTTTTCGGATGGATAAATTATTCGTGCTCTTGCTCTGCCCAATATGATTGTTGCCTAACCGATCGAAATGAAGGCGAACATCAACCGGTGCCATTCTTAGACCGTGGTCTTGGGTAAGCATAAACAATAATATATACCTCACGTCAAAATAATCGCACCCATGAAGTTTGACATACGCGTTTCATATTCTGGGATTTGTATACATGGGTCTTAGGACTCTATCAATTTTAATCTTTGGATTTTCGGAGAAGCCACGAAGCAACAGATGACTGTAGTGAACCTTTGGTAATACTGCTCATGCCGTCGCTCCTCCGGCGTAAGGGCGTATCTCGATTTCCATATGAGCCCCGGAGAGCATAGAGTTATACGGCGAACAGAGCTCATGTGGAAATAGAGATAAGCCTTTACGTCAGAAGGACGACGATGTTACGGAAGAGAGCAGTTACTACAAAAGTTTTGTTTTGAAAAATACTTCAGGCTTAAAAGAAATTCTGGTATTCATAAACAGGGCCGGATTAAGGGGGTGGCCACATGGGCCGCGGTCCACACTGAGAAAAAGCTATGGTTTATAAACCTATTAGTGGTAAATATGGAACACCTATAATAGTCGTAAATAAACTAATGATTCTCGGTCTGTGAACCATACTAAGGTCTCTGTACCTAATTAAGGTACAGAGACCATAACTAAGGTATATGTGCTATTATTATATGTAGAGGTACTACTATTAGTGGTGTTCCATATTTACCTCTAATAGGTTTATAAGCCATAGTTTTTTCTCAGTGCATAGCGGCAAATTTAGGGGGCGGCAAATTTTGCAATTTTCTTAAATGTAGGTATAAAATAAATCGGATTCAGAAAAATAAATTATCCACCCGAAGAGGAAAGAAAATCTCTTTTTCCTGAGAGTATACTAATTTCTAATTTTGTCGTTTTTCGGTGATAAAAGAGACAGCATTAAATTTAACTAAGCAACATTTAATTAATTAGTCGTGTTAAGAGAGGAACTAAACACGCAATTTTGCCTGGAGCTCAGCGCAGAGAGGAACGATGACGAGGACTTGAGATGAAAAGGACAAGCCCTCGGCACGGCGATCGGCATGTAACACATATTAGCGCCTACAAGACTGCATGAATACTTCTCCCATTGCGCCAAACACAGTGCGGTCACGCGGTCAGGAGCGGTTGGCGCGAAATGCATAGCGCCTACAAGACTGCAGGAATACTTCGCGCATTGCGCCAAACACAGTGCGATCAGCGGCGCAGCGGTGGAATAAACTACATTTCTGTTCGTTCTTTCATAATTTTTTGGTTCATTTCTTATAAATGGAGGATTTTGTCCACACAGAGATAGGTTATCGGAACTTAACTTTCGTTTCAAGTTCTGTGAAATTTTGCTAGTAGTGTTGACAGGGTTTTCGCAAAAAAATGTATCCCCCTCCGGCACGTTCACTTGATGGTTCTTCCTGATGTTTCAAAACGAATGAGAAGGGGGCGGCAAAATACAGGCGGTCCATGGGCGGCAAGTAGGTAAATCCGGCCCTGTTCATAAACTTGGCAATAATCATCCGAAAATGGTCTTAAAATTGTTTCAAATAATTGAACAACGACTGCGTTCATCTCTGATGGTTGAAGAAAAAGGGTCATACTTTTTTCATGTTAGAAATACAATAGTATTTGCTATTTTCAACATGCTTGCCTAGTTATATTTGGACAAACATCAAGCTAATTGGACCGCGTTTAACAGAAAGGAACCAAGCCACATCAGCTATTGCCAAATTCAACTGGGCAATTTGATTTTTTACGGGAGAAGGTTTGTGCAGATTTTTTTGACAGTTTTAAGGAATTTGCCTCTTACTATGGAAAAAATTCACTGAAATTTTTACGAAAATTCACACAACCGTTTTCGTGTAAAAAATTAAATTGCCCAATTAAATTTGGCAAAAGCTGATGTGACTTGGTTCCTTTCTGTTTAACGCGGTCCAATTATGGTTAGAAAGTGGCGGAGAAGGGTACCATTTTCTTCAGGACAGCAGTATAGCAGCCCTCTTCCAGAACCATGTGAATTCACATCTATTTTGTATAAAATATTGTCATTTTTTTACGCTTAATGCTTCTCATAACTCTTGATTTTTTTTAACGTCTACAAATAAGACGAATCTTGCTGATCTAGCTGAATCAGTTAGTTCATTTAAATACGTCGAATTTTGAAGGAAATTCTCTTTAAACAATTTGAGCGTTAGTACTTTCTTCTGTGACATGGCAGAACTAACTCTGCCTAAAACTGGAGGTGAAATCAGTATTTGAGCAAAATATTGCAATATTCTGCCTTTCGGCAAAAGGACACCGCATGATCATTCAAAAGTTGCCACATTTCCCCGAGTAAAACATGAATATTTGAATGAAAGTTATACATATTTTCCCTCGGAATTTTTAGATTTTTTTATATTCAATTTCAAAAGAGACTATGTCCATTGGCGGATCCAGCAAATTGTCAACACTGTATTTTCTCCAATTCACCCTATGGAAATATGTATCGATTCTCGAAGGAGCCAAATGCTTCGACAAGAATCATATAGCATTGGTTTGAATGGAGGAAATCCGGTTTTGCCGAATTGCTGGAGCCGCCTCTGAAACTGTCTGAGAAATTTGAAGATCAATGATCAAAATTTTCCCAGTAAATTTGGTTCAAATTTTCGAAACCCGGCAACATCTGAAGGCTTATACGGTGTTCTTCCTTTGCCCAGCAGAAGTAGATATCAGTCACGGGATCATCCGAACGCGACAAGTCCTTGTTCAACGTTTCCATGCTTAGCGTAGATTTTTTTCTCCAACGCTGAGCGCGGCGGTCGTCAACGGTGTGCAGTTGGTCCATCAGACAATGTTACCTTCCGATGGCTCTTTCACCGCCATACTTGCCTGGGCGGCGACGGCGGCGGCGGAGAAGCTGCAGGTTGGGCCCGGCAGATATCCGGTTTAACGATCAACGTATTTGGTAATATCCGGGCTAAGAACGACACACTGATGACATCTAGCCGACTGTCTACCAAACCATAATTGCTCCTCGAGCGAGTCCACCCCCTTGCCAGGGACCCCTTTCCCCTTTCCCTTGCCCCTCGCCTTCCTGGCCCCGTCTGCCCGTGCTCCACTCTCACTTCCAGCCTCCAGTTTCAGCCTCGACCGAGATGCCCTTTGCACGCAGGATCCACGGAAAATTCTTCGCTTAACACTGAAAAAAAATTCTCGGCGTTTTTACCAAGGTCCGTTGGTATCTTTACCATCTCACTTGTTTACCAATTATTGGTAGTTTTACCAAGACAGACTGGTAAGCTTACCTAAAAACCGGTATTTTTACTGGGTTTTTTCTGTTTACTGTTACTGATTAAGTTACTGATTTCTCGGTAAAATTACCAATTCCATAAATGGTAATTTTACCAAGAAAAAACTGGGATCAAATAGAACCCTGAATTCTTGGTGATTTTACCCTTTTCTTGGTAAATATACCGAGATTTTTTTTTCAGTGAAGAAGTCGATTATCGATGAGTCATTATTGCACAGGAAGTACCTCGTTGGAGAGAGTAAGAGTCGTAATGTAAATGGAGAATCTGGCGCCACTTTTAAGCATGCTCCTGGTCCCGAATTCCGTGACTCCTGTGTGTCACGACAGGTCACTTTTTCGATACATAATCGATTATCTTTGACGGTTTCAGGACATCCCGTCAACGATTATTTGTCCGCGCACCTGTTTTGTCCAGTAGTTTACGTCCACGCGTAAAATAAGCAACAGTGACTTGGTTCAAGCGTTATATTATAGTCTGTATGTAAAATTATATTGATAATATTGAAATGAGAAAATTGAGAGAGAAGGAGGTATTGTTATGGTAACTCATTTGTTAAATGAAATGTTGCTTCCTTCTTTTGATTAATCTTTTCTAATTTTCATCGGTGAATATTTGGTTTTATTTCTATCCTTAAATTGATCGATAACATTTACCTTATGTATATATATAATTTTGGGGGAGTATTACTTCAAAATATTTACATTTTTAAAACTTGGCAAACATTTGTAAAACCTTTTCCAAGCGATGGTACTGATATTTATCTCAATGAACCGTAGTTGTCTTGAAAGTAATTATAAAAAACCAGAATTAAAGAGGAAAAAACCAAGAGGCACGCAATCTTTTATTTTAGCCCATTTGTAAATCGATCTTTAAGAGTCAAATCCGTCCAGTTTTGAGCATTTGGTCGCGCGTACACCTCGCTGCAGCACATTAAAAGCAAAAAATGTAAAAGAAAAAATTAAAGGGCTTTGGAAATCATTACATTTGACACGGAACCACCTATATATTTACAAAACACACATTGGGTTTTCCTTTAATAAGTATTTTTTTTCATCAATTTTGATAAGAATAATCCATGCAGAGTGTACAAACATTTCAAAATCATGAGTCGAAAAACGCTGACTCCGTGAGTTTAAATATTTGAGTCAAACACAGTGGAGCGGCGTGCTGCCAGCACGAAACGCGCATTGGCGCCTACAAACCTAACAGGGATACTTCACGCATTGCGCAATGCGTGAGGTATCCCTGTTAGGTTTGTAGGCGCCGATGCGCGTGTAGCGCTGGACGCCCTCGCCTGCCGCGCCGCGCCGCGGCGCTTCAAGCAACTGTTTTGCACAGTATGTACTATGTATGAGCCGCTTTTACGGCGCGCTAGGGCGCTCTGCGACGCCTATTCTCCACAGGAATCTGTCATGGTAGAGATCCTCCGGAAGGTGGCACAGTATCATACGAAATTGAAGACGCTCCAACATATTAAATATGACAGCCATACTTTAATAGTACGGAGCTTTTCTCGCAAAATAAATCAAGATACTACGGCACAAAAAGAGAGCGGTTGTCCAAAAACTTACCAAGTCCTACCATCCATATTAAATAACTTTTAGCATAATTTTTGAATTTCATTAGAGAAAATAAAGTGACTTGATTTAGGCAGAAACATTTTTGAGTATGCCGTAACGAAGATTTCATTTTGAACCAAGAATAAAATCGCTGAATGAAAGTGGGTTTCTGCTTCATGTAAGTGACTTTTCTTTATAAGTAAGTATCTCTTCCTCTTTAATAAACAAGCATTATTTTCTTTATTAAAATTCACGAGGAAATCTTTTCTGCGGTAAATTTAAGCATATCTCTGTTAGAATCTAGTCACTTTTTCCGCTAATGAAGTAAAAAAATCATGCTAAACGTTATTGAATACAGATCCTAGGACTTAATAACTACCGTTCTTCTTTTGTCGTCGTCACTCGATTTAATTTGCGAGGCAATTTCGTACTTTTGGAAGATGCCATCAATCATGATACGTTCATGTAATTCGTACTTCATACGATTATAAACGATTAATTCGACGATTAACGATTTTATACCATAGCTTCAAAGCGAGAAATATCGATAATCGATCAATCACGCTTCGCTAATGGCGCGCATAGAATTATTGAACTAAATTTTGCAATTGGACTACAAATTCTGGCTCATTTCAAAAGTAACATAGATACCATCCAGCATGTTCCTGAGTATCTTCACGTGTATATGTATTTTTATTTGCGGTTGTGATGGTGCTAGAAGAGAAACAACTACGGTAAGTGTTCCGGAAAATGCACATGGACCTCATTTTGCAATTCAGAACCAACATTTCTGACCTAGATCAGAAGCAGCGTATGCACCGTCATTTTCCTCAGGCTTATAAGTGTATTTATGGATGAGCTAGAAATTGTAGTTCCTAATTGTAAAATGTAAGTAGTCCATATGGGCTATAGTTTTCCTACGAAGATTTTTGTGGTTTAGCCAGAAATTGCAGTTCCTAATTGCAAAATGTGGTGCAATTTGTCTGCCGGATTGTAATTTTGATATTGTGTGGTAATTAAGGAACATTCTCAAGGCTTATTGAAGGAAGAGGAGAGAACATTTAGTCACTTATTCACCAAGGGAATGGAGAGGCACTTTTCCGGTATGCGTGGGTGAAAATTTGCTATGGCCTTGGGGCTAGATATCGTTGGCGTTTTCGCACTGAAACGTAACATCTGTCGATGAAACTGTAACCTGCCGCCAACCAATCAGGAGCCCCATAACGGACTCAAGTGCGATCCTAGGCCTAAGTATATTATTTAAGTACACCCATTTTCCTCGACGAAATTTGGCCCCTGCCATTCACTAGGTGATGCATTCAAGTGCTCCTTTGAAGTTCCTTCCATGTTCCGGCAAACAATAAAGATTTTATAATCTCCCGAAAATTTCAAAATCACGCATCATGCTTTCCTAAATTATGACTTTGTTCCTACCGGTTTGTTTTACCGATTTGTTCAAATCAATCAACGCCGTGAATGTTTGTGTTTCACTCTCACCACGCTCAAGGAAGCTTATCACCATTTTGAAGTTCGAACTGATAATAGGTTAGAGCATTGTGGCTTGGGATTATTTTCATTTTAGTTATCACAAACGAGTGAGTTGCAACCGCACGAGTGAAAAGCGTGTATTGTGGTTTACGGTCCTGTCATTGAGGCTTAAGACAATACCGGCATAAATCATTTCCACGCTTGTTCAAGGTTTTACGTTTCTTTCTTCTTTGCAGTTTTGACAACTGAAGTAGCGTAGTAATAATTTTCGTGCGTGATCCTAAAAATGTTCTCATCGAAGAAGGGTCAACTCTGCGTTTGCTTAGTTATTATTTCTGTTTTTTTACTTTTGGATGCTTGTTTGATCTTTGTATATTTTAAATATTTCGTCCCACTTAATGGAAAGGGACCTGTCGTGCCAATAGTTGTCACCACGTGGAACTATTCAACTGCAAACGATAGAGGTAGGTACATTTTTTTTATTTGCGCAGTTCTCAAAAAATTAAAAGGTGCTTCTCTCAGAAGTGAGTGCGGAACTCCCCACCTTCTAGTGAAAGTATGAAAACTAAATTTGGCCATGCGTTTACTATGAGTAAAGCTATATTGGTGATGCATGGAACATCTGTATAACAGACTTTCATGCGTGTGTGTATGTGTGACGTTTGAAAGCGGCTGGTTTAATGGCTTTGTAAGGAATATATACATGAGAGCAAATTCCTGAAATTGGTAGTTCCTATGCTCGGACAGATTTCCGCCCATGTTTATATTGCTTAGACTTCAAAATGAAAAGTTGAAATGAAGTATATGAAAAAATAAGTAAGAAAAAAGAGTTTTTAAAAACAAGATGTGCTTAATCCAAAGTGAGTATCCTCTCCACAAAAAAGGAAAAACACTAAGTTTTGCCACAGTGCCACAAAACCCGTTAGCAAGTTTATAGCTCGCGGTTCGCACAGTGTTTTGATGTGAAGAAAAAAACGCCTTCAGCTTTCCATATATGCAACAAGGTAGCCATTCGAGGTATATCCATACGGAGCCCGGCGTTACCTTTCCGTCTAATTTCATCTGTCAAGATCTCACTTGCAGGCGCATTGATTATAAGCTGTTTGTCGATTTGAGGCGAAGGATCTAATTTTCAAAAACCCTGCAGGCCGATTATTGAATTTGATAGACAATGCTATAGACAAAGAAGACAAAAGGTATATGAAGGGATCCAATTAGTGGAAGCGGGTGGTTGCAATGGATAAAGAATAGGTAATAGGTAATAGGTAATAGCTGGTTGCATTGGACAATGAATGTGGATAATAGATTAACTAACGGCATTCTATGATAAACTCTATTGTTAGTCCATCATTGTCTCCCTTAGTCTATAGGAACCTCCCATTTTAACCAATAGGATCGCTCTATATTCTCTATGTCTTTTTTATCTATCGTTTTGTCTATCAAAAATAATCGGCCCGCTGTTTTCCTTCTTACGAATTTTAACTTTCTTAGGGAGCTTCCTGCTTCTGAAAGTTTCCCATCATAAGGAGAAGGAGAAAGAAGGAAAGGATATGGATTACATAAGAATATATTTTGCATAGAAATTAAACAGAGCACCAATCTTATGGAAAGCTGATCATAGGTTTAGTTGCATCTATACGCACACCTCACTTTCCAATAACCAAAATACCAAAAATTTTCATAATTTTCAATTGTATTCTCCAAAGTAATTCGTTCTCTTTATCCCAATCTATGGGGTTTTTTCAGCGTGGGATGTGATCGCGCGGAATGGCACTGCTTTGCACTCGGTTGAAATGGGAATTGCTCAGTGTGAAATAGAGCAATGTCGGCACACCGTTGGATACGGCGGGAGCCCCGATGAGCATGGCGAGACAACATTGGATGCCCTTCTAATGGATGGGTATGATTGTGAAAACCATTCAAAATTAACCTCTAAATTCAATGGAGATGTTGCACGTGTGAGGGATTTGCGATTTGACTGTTGTCTCTGTTGTAAAAGTTCGCGAGAGACACGATGGTGCCACTGGTTTTCTCTGAAATCAACTCCCAAGCTCAAAAAAAGCTCTCAAAGTGAGGCCAAAATGGAGAGGATATCCCGCCCTACCCTGAGAGTCCAGCTCTACATCAAAACAAACTCTCCATGCAAAGATAGGGAGCAAATACATTTGCAGGGTCGCCGTGTTTTCAGTTTTGGAGTCCCCAAATGAAGTGGCAGCCCTGTCAATGTATTTGCTCCCTATCTTTGCATGGAGAGTTTGTTTTGATGTAGAGGTGGACTCTCAGGGTAG